GGTGGAGCATTGCTCTCCCTATACTGCTCGTTTGTATTTGTGCAGTAAATACACAAGCTTTATTATGGTTAAGATCTAAAATACCCTCCAAAGCCTCACGGGTTGGGAAGGTGTTTGGATCGTGGGATGAGGAGTCAGTAGCCAAATGCAGTTAGGAGGCAAGCACTGGGCAGTGAGGGGACCGCTGGGCAGGAGCTGGAGGGTGTGTTATCCCCAGCTCCTCCTCTTCCTGGCTGCCTTGGGATGAGCAGCTGTTCTCTGCCAGGTCATTCATTCTTTCATGCCATTTCTACCCCAGAGCCAACTGGCCATGTCCTGAAATGGTGAGACAAATAAATTCTTCTTCCTTTGAATTATGGATATGAGGTATTTTGTCCCAGTGATGGAAAATCTGAATTCTGAATAATACAGATGATGGGAACCATGAATGGGGTCATTGTTGTGACTGTATCTGACCATGTGATTCAGAAGCCACTGAAAGTGGCTGTGAGAGGAGCTTGGAAAAGTGTGGGGCCATTTCCCCCTCCCACGTTGAGACAGGAATGGGTATTTTCCCCATGAGTTTGCTTAGGCTTCAGATTTCCCCCACGTTTTTCACGTCTCTCTAATCACTGGCCATCTCACGGCGGCTTTGGTGGGGCCAACAGTTCATAGACCCCACGGCTGAGGTTCCGGACTTGTGGTTTAGTAATTACAGGCCTGCAGGCTATGGCATGGGGAAAGAGACCGTGGTAGTCATCTCTGATGACTCCTTGTAGAAAAAGGTTTGCCAGAAAGGGGAACCAGGTCCAAGTATGGCAGTGCAGCTTAGGGCGGGGAAGCATAGGAATGACACTGGGGACCTCTACACTCACACTCCATTCCCCACCTTCATGACTGGCCATGTATCAGGAGCAACCGTCCACTGAGCCCCACAGATGTGGCAGGAGCCGAGGGTGCAGGAAAACGTCCTTGGTCAATGCTATCAGCGCGCCGGCACCAGCTCCCATGTGTTCCAAGAGACCCAGCCTTTCTGCGCCCCTCCTGAAAATCAGGATGGCTGCTCTTTGTACCATGAGCGGGTCCTTGGGTTTATTTGGTCTTTCCTGCACCTGATTCTACTCCCTACACCAAGCATGAGCACTCTGCAGAGCAGACAGGAGTGGGAGCAGCTCCCTGGCTCGGAGCTGCTTTCTGGAGCAGAGGAGAGCCGGGATTTCCGCTCACACAGGCAAAGGTTGGGCTCTGTAACACAATTTTTGGATGACTCTTCCTCTCTGACCTCAGCTTTTTTCTTTGGTCAGGAAAGTAAGCCCACCCGGTACTTAACACTAAGTATTCACTGAGGGTCATCTGTTGGCCCAGCCATCTCCCAAGTGATGCTGAAGACACCAGAGTGACACAGAAGCTGCTTCTCTGCAACAGTGGAGGACATGGATCCAGCCTCAGCCCGTGATGACCAACTTGAAGGCAGTTTAGGGAACTTCTGTGTGGGCAGATCCAAGAATTCCTGCCCCAGCCTCGGAGTCAGGGCTGATGATACTGGAGCAGGCAACCTGAGCTGAAGATTCCAGGATGAGTGAGTGCTGTGATCCCCGGAGCAAATCTGTGCTGGATGCACAGGCGACAGGGCTGGGAGAAGGAGCCGCAAGCATGGGTCCCGAGAGGCTTGGGGGCACACGGGCTTCCTTGGGAGCATTTTGGTATCCTAGGCACCATGTCTGAGCCCCAGCAGGGCACAGATGTGGTCAGATGTACATGCGCGGAAGACACCAGAGTGTCACTACTGCCTTTGCCCGTGGGGAGGTGACAAGCATCCAGCTCTGCTCCGGTGCCACTTCTCCGTGTGCTCCTCTGGCCCCGCTTGTGCAACTCAGGGAGGACCAGGGTTTTCTGGGCACAGACTTGGACATTCTAGTAGTGTGTACAGCGATCCAGTTGGTTTTGTTTTGTTTGTTTGCTTTTTTGACACAGGGTCTCACTGTGTAGTTCAGGCCGACCTTGGACTCAGTATGAAGTGCAGGCTGGCCTCAAACTCACAATGATCCTCCTGAGTGCTGGGATTACAGGCGTGTGCCACCACGCCCATCTATCCAGTTGGTTTTAAATGGTGATTTCTTGTGTGATTTATTTTAATTGAGAAAGAATAAATTAAAGACCAGGAGTGAATACACAGGAAGTACAAGCTGTGTTACATTGTTTATGACATTTTTCTCCCAGGCTGTAACATAATGACATAATGTCTACTTTTTTTTCCCAGTCAGTGATTTTTTTTCCCTCTTCGGCATATGGATGACTTAGGTCAGATCCTTCTTTCCAAAGGAACACTGATGGAATTGCCCTGGATTTTTCCAAAGAGAGTATCTGTTTTCATATTCTGGCACCAGACATATTATGGGGAGGAGAAATTGGGCCATGGGCTTGGGCTTGTTGTCTGTATTGTGAAAGAAGCCTGGGTCTGAATCGGGGTCCAGGTGAGAGGCAGGGGCGCCTTCCCCTGAGCAGGGCTGGGCTGGTGTCTCCTAAGAGGTGGGACTCACATCCACTACTTTCTCTCCATTCCTTCTCTGGGACATCTGCGTTAAGACCTTGGGCAGGTGAAGGGGGCAGCTCAGGATAGACAGGTGACCATCAGAGGATGAGATGTCATGACCATCATAGTGCCAGACCTGTGCTCTGTCAAGATAGATGTACTCATGAGGCTTTGAAGTCAGGCAGCTGCGGAGTTACAGCCTCTCTCTGCTCCATCTCCAGGAGTCAGAAACCTTTAGCGCCCGACATCGTCCAACCCCACCATCAGGGCTTCCGGGTCAGTCATCTTGTGCCATCCATGCTGAACGTCATTGTGTGGGGGACAGGTCATGGGGTATGAGCTCTGTGAGGCATACAATCCCGAACCTAAGTAGCCATTTGTTTGTCTCTTGACACCCCTTGGAATCCAGCAAGGCAGCCACTAGCCACCCTCCCATTGCTGGTCAGTGACACAGGCTGGACCACAACCCAAGCTGCCTAGACTTCAGTCCAGGTCCTCCGATCCTTTCCACCCCTGTTTCAGCCCCACTGAAGGGCAGACCAGCCCTGCTCACAGACTCACCAGTATGAGACTCAAATCGGATTCCCAGGGCTGCTGGGAGGTGTGGGCGGGCCATGCTTCCTGGGGTGGGAAGCCCAGTGTGATGCAGGCCTTCTGTGTTCCCGGTGGTTTCTCATGTAGCTTAGTGTTATTTCCACCTAGGCTCTGTACGCTCTTCCCACAGGACTGGGAAGAATGTGGGGAGAAGTCAGGGGCATGGGGGATCCCCAAAGGCAGAGGCCCCCCATCTACTGGCTGAGAAGCAGGTTAGTCATTTGCTGAATCACAGTTTGAAATTCCCATGACCTTTGCTGTCTACCTGGGGACTTTTGTTGATCAAAGCCTGAGGGTCAAGCCCAACCCCGTCCTGAGTGGGTCCTCCGCACAGTGCAGTGAACCAAGAGCACCATGAGGAGGGCCTGGAGAAGGCTCCATGCTGCCCCTCCACAGGTGCAGACAGCGACACCAGCTGAGCTACACGCCAGGGCCCCAGTGTCACCTCTGCGGTTCCTGTAGTGATTCAGAGCTCTTGACTGGCAGGAGACGCCACTGCAGGAGCACACAGGCGGGTCAGATAGGATAGTTTGCTGTTCCTTTTTTTTATCTGTGATGGCCAGAAAGGGTACTGGCTTGGCTGGATGCAGTCACACACGCACCCACACACACATACCCACACACACCCCAATTCCTTTTGCTGTTTTGGTACCACCTAAGAAGGAGAGAGTAAAGATGACAGAAGTGTGCAGACATCCACAGAAATCTCTTGACTCACACGCTGCGCAGTGCTTGGGGCATGTGTATGTACACACAGGAAGGAAAAGCGCCTCTCCCACCCGGGGGTATCTGGCAACTCTTCAGGGAGTGAGCTTTTCATGTGGGTGGAACCGATTACTACTTTTTGTGTGTATTTTCCCTGCAATTTATACCCTGATAAGGTCTGGTTAAGGTTTTTCCAGATTGGTAATAAATGGTTGCTCTAACAAGCTCTGTGCTTGTGACTCTTGCTCATGGAGGTAAACCCAGCCTCCCTAGTCCCTGTTCCCTTTTGTCCCCCTTTTACTTCAAGCCTTGCCGGTGGCTTGTCAGATGGGAGAAATAGTGACACCGGAGATTGCTGAGTGGTGGGGACCTCAAATTCACAGTGGCTAATTTTGCGTACTTCCCTAAGGGATCAATGGAAGTTTGGGATTATGTATATGTCCTTGTGAGATTTCCCATTAACTTTTTAGGGACTGGCCATCCTCTTCCATCTATTAAGACTGAACTAAAACCATTAAGATTAAAAAACACCCCAAGGCAAGATCCTCCTTAGCACAAAATCACAGCCGTTGCCCGCTGAGTCACTGACCTCTGAGTCTTCAGCCAGCCTTGAATCTTCCGCTAGCCTGTCTTATCATTGCACGCACCCAATAAATGGTGACTAGCTTGGAGGTCTGTCTCTGGCCATCTCGAGGTGCTGACCTCCCCGCCACTATCAAACTGCTGGTCACAGCTGCCCACTTAATTCCTGGTTGTCTCCAAAATGATTTCCTCTCTGACTTTTAAAGCTCTATAGCTGCAGAGAAGGGAGTTATACACACTGTTCTCCTCACTCTCACCCCGCTCCCCAGTGTCACTTTTGAGTATGGGGAGAGGTCTGGCAAGCAGAAAGAAGAGGTTTGATTTGTGAAGAGCTCCTACAGTACGCCTGCAAACTCTGCTGGTCAGATTCAGGGAAACGTCTACTCAAAATGCTTTTGAGCCAGGGAGCATCTGCTCTGGGCTGCATTTGTAGGAGCAATAAAAATAGAAGTAAATGCTGTTGGGCTAAATCTCTTCCAGCCCAGGGCTCAAGTGAGTTTTTGGTAGCTATTTGAGGGGTGCTTGAGGGGTTGGGTGGGGCAACCACGAGTCCCCAAAGTTGCTAGAAGGAACCAAGGTGGCTTGTCCCTGGATAGATAATCACTTTTTTTTTTTAAACAGGGTGTCTCTATGCAGTTCAGGCTGGTCTTGAGCTCATTTTGTAGCCCAGGCTGGTCTCAAACTCACAATGATCCTCCTGCCTCAGCCTTGAGAGTGCTGGGATTTCAGGGATGAGCCACCACACCCCGCTGATGATCACTTTTTGTACAAGGGAGGGTGACTCTCTGAAGTTGGGTTTTGATTCCAACAGAAGACAGCTGGTCTTCGGGGGTGGTGGTGGAAGATCTCAAATGCAGAGGGTATTGGTAATAGTTTGTCCTTATGGAAAATACCAGAAGTAATCATAGAAGCAATTCCCAGGCCAAAAGCACTGAGAGAAACAGCCAGTCACTGCTGCAGCGGACCGGCTCATGGTGGTGCTGGGGAAAAGGAAGCGCAGTGAATAGCCCATTGTGGTAATCACGCTACTCAGGATCTGTAGCCTGCTGTCAGTGGTTTTGTCTTTCAGGACAGAGAAATTCTCTCAGCTTCTGCTGATGCAAGGCTTCCAACCCGTGAGCGTCTCCAGAGGAGGACCAGGCCCCTACAAATCACCAGACAGTAAGTCACAGTGCTCTGTGTGTGTCCAAGGAATCCGATGCCTTTGGAGCTGGTTGGGACGTATCTCATTCAGGAAGTTCTTCCTTGATAAGTGCTGGGGCCATGCACCTCCCAGAACTTCTTGGACTGCTGGGCTGAGGGCAGCATCGCTTTGCGTGAGGGATGCCAGGTCAAAGGTAAGGAAATCCTGCCCACTGTAGCAGGCTACACTGCTCATAAGGCTTGTGCTACAAACAGAACGTCTGAAAACAAAAGCATGGGAAACAGTTTAAAAATGCAAATTCTAACTCCAAGAAGGCTAGTGTAATTCTGCTAGCATCAAAGAGGGGTTCTACAAAGCTATCATTAGAGATTAAAAGGAGTCAGTGCAGCAGAAAAACATTATAAATCAGAGTGCTCCTGAGAGCAGCCACCTGATACCATTCTAGCAGAATCTGGAGTTGTGGAGACATCCTGCGTCCCTCGATAAGATTGGCAACACTGCTGTACCCCCCAACATCTGCACCCCAACTCTTCGCTTCCCCAGGCCCCTGCCTTAACACACTGCTCCTTCACTTGGTGCCCCCTACCTCCGTGGCCTGCCAGAGCCCCCTCCACTGTCCTCATCTGTGGCCTTTTCCACTGCGGTTCCCTCCTGCCCTTTCCAACCCCTCCCGATACTTCTCTCCATCCCCCAGCAGGGTGCCCAGAGACCAGCCTACTGCCCTACCCTCACCACCTTGCACTGAGTCCCTGATACTCATGGCCCCTTTCCGTGTGTCTGGCAGGGGAGGGGGCACTCCAAACTCTCATCTCTCCCTTGCCACCAGATCAAACATGCAGGGGTGCCCCATACTCCTGGCCCGGAGATATTGGTCCCCCTCCTCTGGACCTCTCTGTTTCAGAAAGAGCATCATCTAATCTAACCTTCTTCCCATAGAGCCCCCAGCTCAGGCCCCAACTGCCTCTACACCCCATAGGGGCCCCCACCACACATCTTCTGGGGTGCCATGGCTGCAGAGTCAGTGACCACACCACGTCACTAGGCTGTGCCCAGTGGATGCCCTCCCATGACATCCATCCAACCTTTAGCACACCCTCCCCAACACCAGTGTCCTCACCGGTCTCCCTGGGGACAGCTCTAGACACGCATGCGCTCTCCCCTCTCACCATGCAGCCGCACTTCCCAGGCACCCTCTGCTCACACTGCACCCACCACACACAGACCCAAGCCGGCTCCCCTGACACCCCAAAAGCCCCCCGCAGCATCCAGGAGCAGCAGTCAGAGTGGCAGTTGGGGCAGGGCTCTGCAGACCACAGACACCATTTCCAGTACCCTCTTTGCTCTCACTCTTAAAGTATTTGAATGAGTTGTGTGCGTGCATTGGTGGGTAGGTGTGCATGTGAGCACGTGCATGTGTGCATGTGTCTAGGAATTTAACTCAGAGTCTTAGTCTTGACCTTTGTCTCTAGATTTATTTTATTTTATGTTTTGAGGCAGGATCTTGCCAAGTTGCCCGGGCTGGCTTCTAACTCGATCTGAAGGAAGATGGTGGGGGAGACGTGGAGAAGGAAAGAGTACAGTCCACCGGCAAGGAAGCACCATCTCTGACCTGAATGTCCCTTGTTGCGTGTGTCAAAAACTGAAGGCTAGAGTTTAGACTTCCTGAACAAAATGAAGAGTATGGCTCCTTGTTCATTTCAAAAGCTGTGAGGTAGAACAGAAGCAACAAAGATAGGTAGAAAGGGAGAAGGCAAACCAGTCTGAACAACTGTACCTCTAAGAAGACTGCAACTTGAGGACACGGCTGAAGCTCCCCGACACTGTATCAGCCATTCCCTTGGTTACTGAGATTCCTTTCCTTCCATCACACCCAAAATTCCTCAAGGATCCTCTGCATCCGGAGCTGGGGGTGTAGCTCAGTGGCACCGCACCTGTCTGCCCTGATATATATATATTTTAAAAAACTACGTCTATAAATTGGCTTAGTTGAAAAAGTAAACAGCAGGAACCTGATTTCAGTATAAAGGTCAGGTCAAGAGAATTCAAATTACTCATCTTTTTAAAAGGTGGGCTCACTTGCAAAGTGAGCCAATTCCCTTTTTGGGAGACTATATCACCTTTCCCTGGGGCTTCTCACAACTCAAGGGAAGTATAAATGCTCTCAGTTCCAGGAAATAGCGTTTCTCTGAAATGTTCCTTTCTCTGAATGCCTGCACTCCACACCTGAGCGTGTGATGTGAAATTCTGCCCATTAAACCTTTTCTGTGCTTCTCACTGGTCAGTCCTTTTTTCCCAACAGGGGTCACTGAAGCTGCAAATTTATTCTGTGGGTGAGGCAAGTTTAGGTTCCTCATTTCGGTGGAAACCTCTTCGAAACCTGTCTGATAACACTTAAAATAATTGATTCACATTTTGGTTCCAAGTGGTAATTTTCTGACTCTTTTTTTGTACTAGCCAATATTCTTCTGTAGGGCAGATTTTTTCTTCTTCTCTGTTCTCTTTTCATTAGCACAAAGGATTCAAGAAAGTATTTTAATCTATGTCTTATATTTCATGTCTTATAGATTTGGGGGGGGGGTGTTCAAATTGTTCCAAGTTTGTGCAGTGGAATGCCCTGTGCGCTGGCCCAGGAACCTTCTTGAAATATCTGAGGAGTTTTGAAGAACATCTCTACTGTAGGTATCAAGACTTTTCATAGTCATCGGATGTCTTTGCCTCCCCAGACTGGAAACAACTATTTCTACAAGGAATCTTCAGCTGTGAAATGGTCTTTCAAAACAGAGATCTCGCCTGGAGATCTCATGCCGGTTCCCATCCAGTGCTCCTTTCTAACTTCATCCTCCCACTAAAATCCATGGCTTCTCTCCCAAATCAAAAGGCATTGCCTTTGGGGGAAATTTATACATAGCGTGACTGCACCACATGCATATCTAAAAGGAGAGAGTCTGATTCATTTCTTGTGTGTGTGTGTGTGTATGTGTGTGTGTGTGTGTGTGTTTCGTTTTTATCGGTACCAGGGATCGAACTCACGACTGCCTGCTTGCAAGGCAGGCACTTATATCGCTGAGCTAAATCCCCAGCCCCTCTGATTCATTTCTTCCTCCTGTGTTTTCACAAGGCAGGATAGGTTACATTCATGCCCCCATATTTTCTTTTAACAGTTGAGCTGATTTGCCTGTAACATGCATCATTGTGATCCAAATCAATTACAGCTTTGTGAACACAGTGAAGTTGAGATCTGCCTCATTTTCTTGAGGTGAATAGCCAGTTGACAACTGAAATTTTTCTATCTTCCATACTTCTCTCTTACTGGACAGTTTATCGTCATTACTCCAGTAGGAATAAATACAAATCCATCAGGCTTTCTCTTTAAAAACTGCCCTCTGGGGCTGGGGATTTAGCTCAGTGGCGTAAGTGCCTGCCTTGCAAGTGTGTGATCCTGAGTTCCTTCCCTGGTACCGATAAAATAGAAAAAGACAAACAAACAAACAAACAAAACTGCCCTCAGGATGTGTATCTCTGAACCTTTGTGACCGCTGTTCGTCATGCTGTTTTTAACTGATGTCAGGTAAATTTCAAAATCATATTCAAAAACTTCACAATAATTTGGAATGGATTATAACAGCTACATGGAAACAAATGGGAGAAAGCTAAAATGTTTTTTTACTAATTTTTTTCAACCAGGAACACAATATGGTTTAAAATATTTGCTAAGACAGAAAGTAACGGGGAGTAAGTATGTGGCATTTTATACAGAGAAAAAAGATTTTCGTTTTTAAGAACAAAACTTTAAATAGAGCACTTAGTATGAATTCAACAATATTCGGTCTCAAGGGATTTCATCATGAAGCTGACTGACGGGAATTTGAGCCCGAGATCCTGAGAATCCGATTGGAGAAGGGAGAGGCAAGACAGCCACAGATTATCCCCCTCTTCAGCACATCTACAGTCCCCTCATCCCTGGAACTCAGTCTTCCGTATACCCACAAATCTTATTTCCCAAGCTGCATAAGCGATGGTGCTATTGTCTTTTGCACGCGGACCTGTAGACCCCCAAATGCTCTGACCAAGGCCACTGCAAGTCCTGCTCAAGGTAGGGAGGTGACCAAGACCCCAGCATGCTTATTTTGGCACCTGAGTCTCTGTGCTGCTTTGGTGCCGGAAGACCCCTGTTCTGAATCCACGGTCAAGTTCTTCCTCTTCCAAAAGCACAAGAGAAAAGGGGGGATCTCTTTGCTTATCACTGACGGTGTCAACATTGTGAAGTGGAATTGAAAAGCTGTAAAGAGCTAAATGAGAACCCAGGTGACAGAGTAGGAAGAAGGACAGGGAGTGGAGGGACACAGAGATGGAGGAAGAAAGAAGTGGAGCCTGGAGCACACAGAGACAGGATTAACCAGAGCCAAGGCTGAGCGCCACACTCCCATCCAGTGACGGGCTGAGCAGCCTCTGAGGTTCAAAATCTAGAGCTGGCGTCTGTTTGAACGCGATCTTGAGCCCATCCACAAAGCTCAGTGGCCCTGACCTCACATCCTTGTGCCACCACTCACCCCACCAGCCCGTCCCCATTTCCTGGTCTCCTGTTTAGCTCAGAAGAAAAGTGTATCCCAAACCAACCCCTTCCTAGGAGTGAAGCTCCGGAGTCCAAAGACTTGAAATGGAGCCCAAATTCTGCACCCCAGCCTCAAGATGGGGCTCCCTTCCTTCATCGGTCTTTCATGATCCTGTCCTGTTCCTTTGCCCAGAGTTTTGGGGCTGCTTAAAGAATACACTTTCAAAAGTGTGATTGATATCACTATTATTTGCTCTTCAATAATTTGGTCTAAGTGCAATTTTATGCCAAAACTGAACAGGTTAGGATGTTGTCCACTGGAGCCAAGTAATTGTGCCTGTGATTCAGCCACATGCTCCTCACCAACCACAGGACATGGATATGCAGGGACATGGGCTAGGGTGGGATGACCTGCCGTTGGCTTGCTTAGGGCGAGGAAAGAACAAACAAGTCTGGGGGGTCTGGGATTCAGGGCTGCAGGAGAGGAGACTTTGGGGGTTGGACCGTGAGCCTTGGCTTTATAGGGCTGGAGGCTGCGTCTCCGTTATTACCCGGTACATGCTCCAGGCCACTGCGCCTGCTCCCCATGGTCTTTGAGTGGACCCAGCGCTGGTCCTCTTTCCCCTCCCCGGCCGCCCAGTGCGGCCCCACTCGGCGCTGCCCCCCTCGCCCACTAGGGGGTCCCAGTTGATCCTCCTCTGCCTGAGGGGTCCCGGGAGAGCAGAGCCCTCGCACAGTGAGAATTTCACCAGAAAGTGGAGTCTGAGACAGAATAAGCTTTATTCAGAAACCCCAGGTGACCAAGGAGGTTTAATGACATGTGAACATTTGCAGAAAAAAGTGGATGTGCCCATGTTGTCTCAGAATCTGACAGAAGACGAGGACCCACATCGCTGTTTGTGAACAGGGCCGGTTCAGACGTAAACTGCATAAATGGAATAAAGCGCTCAAGGGGAAGAGAGGGACTCCAGGAAATGCAACGCTCGGCATGGGTCCTCGGGTCGCTGGGAATAGTACTTGCCTGATATTAGCCACAGGAGTCATGGTGAGTGCTCCTGGGGACACCTCGGCCACAAGGGGTTCTCATGCTCTTGAGAGTGGATCCGTCCTTACTCGGGGCAGAGGGAAGGCTGGGTACTACAGGGGACTCAGAATGAAGGGGACCCTGAGTTTCACAGCCTCTCCGCATCTCGCATCTTAGGACCCTGAGGCCATGTCTGCACGCTCTCATCCAGGAGGCAGAATCCAGGAGCTGTCCCATCCGGTGTCCGGGGTCCTGGTGGCTCATCAGCTGACACTGAGCAGAGAGACACAGACAGTGAGAAACTGAGCCATGACCACTTCAGAATGTGGCGGGGTAGGGGGTGCGAAAGGGATTAACTCTTGTTTTAAAAAAAGACACTGGGGTGAGTGTGTGAGCAACAAAAGAGGAAGGGACAGACGCCAGGGGAGGAAAAGGGAAAGCTGGGTGGACAGGGCGTGGCTCCAGCAGGGACAGGAGAGGCAGCCTGAGTGTCCTTCTCCTTTGCACCCTGAGATCGTGCAGGGGACAGGACCTCACCTCTGACAAAGCCTGTCACCAGGAGACGGGATGGAGCAGTCCTCCACATTCAACTTCACCATGAGTGGCTCTTTCTGCTCGGGGGGCCACCGATCACAGCACTGCTCAAAGCAGACTCTGTAGCTGCAGCTGCCACACCGGCGGGTGTCGCCCAAAGGCACGAGGGTGTCCTTTAGGCAGCAGTGTTGCTGAGGGTCATAGAACTGGTTCCCACACATCATTTGAGCTTGGCACAGCATCAGAGTGCTTCCTGAGGGGGACACTGGAGGAGAAAGAGCTGTTGTGCCCCAGGCTGGGCCGCAGGGGCAGGTGATGCCCAGCCAGCCCCCCCCCCCAGGGAACCATACCCTCCCCAAGCATCCCATCCCTGAGGGCTCACCTGGGGCTCCATGTGTGCAGCAGAGCAGCTTGAGGAGGCAGAGAGCGGCAGACAGGGCTGTGGAGAGAAGGGGAGGAGGTGGCATGGAGGCACGGGTCACCCCCAGCCTCAGGGCCCACAGTGGGATCAGGGGAGGCTCTGGGAGGTGTAGTTTCAGCCTCCCTGTGGTCGAGGTTTGTGTTGGGCAAGGGGAGGAGGACAGGAAGATGGGGTGAAGTGGGTTTAGGGCTCAGTGGGGAGGAGGGAGCGCTGGGGTGGGGGTTGGAGACAGAAGAGCAGCTGGGGCCAGGCTGTCAGTGGCTGGATGGAGTTGGAGGAGCTGTACAAGATGCTGTTGGGACAGGGCAGGGGGTGAGTGCAGAAGAGAGGCAGAGACAGCCCCGAGGCCCAGGAAGGGGTAGAGGCCCACGAGCCCATCTCACTGAGATGGGCTGAATTCGGGACGGGCATCTGAGGTGCCTTGATGGAGCCTGTGGAGAGCAGGAAGGAGCTGGGTAAAGGGAGGTTTATCGAGGGGTAAGGAAGGGGCCAGGGTGATGTCTCAGATTGAAAGTGGGGTTCTCTTCTTTACCCAGAATGCAGCACGGCACAGGCATGGTTCGGGCTGGCTGCAGCAGAGTAAGTGGGGCTTCGGGATATCTCAGCCAGTATTTATACTTCAGATATAAGGTGATGATAACATCAGATCTCTGGTCCTGCTGCCCATGACCTGCAGGGACATGCCTGACCCTGCAGTAGGAGCAGGTATCAGTACATACATGTGTCAGAGAGGATGTGAGTCAAAGGCTTCACATGCCAAAAAAGGATGGAGGCTCCTCTGTCAAGTCTTCTTCGCATCCCCAAAAGGAATTCACTTTGATAAGCAGGAGTGAAATGGGCTGAGGAATAGCTCAGGGGCACAGTGTTTGTGCAGCACATGCAAGGTCCTGGGTTCAAGTCCCAGCACCACACCAGATATTAACAAGGGGAAAAGGGAAGAAGCAGTGGTTCACAGGATGCTCCCTGAGCTTGTGTCACTCTCTCACCATGAGACAGCCCCCTGGGATCTCCCTTCTGTACCTTACCATGCCACACATTCTCAGGGGCTCAGCAGCTCATACGCCTCACAACCCAAGCCCCAGACTTGGGATGTAATGAGTGCTGACTAAGCAGCCGCCCGCGGCATTCAGGAGAGAGACTGTGGTACCCAGTGGCTTGTGACAGAGCAGGTGGGAGGAGTGAGCTTAGCTCAAGGGAGTGGGAATGGCCTTGGGGACCCTTGGATTCCTGCCTCATTTACTCCCTTCAGCAATGGTTATGTGCCCGGGGACACTAGAGATGTCCCAGGCGTCAACCAGATGCAGCAGGAGCCATGGATTTAGAGAAATTGCCCCGTTCATTGCCATCAGTGCCCTGGGCACCAGCTCTAGTATGTCCAGGTTGGGGCAGAGGGGTTGTCCCCAGCTCAGCTCTAGGGGCACCTGTGCACACTAGCACTGCTGTACCCAACTGGGCTCTGTGTCTCCAGAGGGCCCACGAGGGCCACGCCCACCCTTTAAAAGACCCCCCCCAGAGCCCCACCTGCAGGATACAGTGCCTGCTCTTTGCAACCCGCACGGATGCTCTTGTGGCCCTTCAGTCCCTCTTGCACCTGACCCCAGTTCCAGCACCACATGTGACTGTCGTGAAGAGCAAACAGCAAGGTGTCAGCTCCACAGACCTCAGCTGCTTTGTGCAGCTGGGCAGGGAGGTCTCAGCTCTTCTCTCAGACTGCTAAGAACCAACTATAGCCCAAAATGTTGGCGACTTTGCCTGTCTGACCCCCAGTCCCATTCCTCGTTTAGAGAAATAAACCTGCCCAGTTAACCAGTTGTCTTTTGGACCAAGAGCACTCATGCATTTACAGCCCTGGCAGTAAATATTCACTGAGGACCATTTCTGGGTCCAGCCACCTCTTAGATCATGCAGAGGTCCTGGAGCTGACACAACAGCCTGTCCTCCCGAACAGTACAGGACTTGAACCCAGCCACGTGCTAGCAAGATGAGGGTCAGGGATGGTTGTGGAAGCCTGGTGGGGAGGCCAGAGGGTCCCTGACCCCGCCTAGTTGAGGCTGTTGACGCTGTAACAGGGGAGTCAAGCTTTCAGCAAATCAGTGTCCCTAAGAGCGGCGGGCAGCACTGGGAGAAGGGCAGAAAGGACCAGCAAGCCCAGGTCCTGTGTAGCTCACAAGGATTCAGACTTTATCCTGAGCATCCTGGAACCTGTGGCCACACCTGAGTCCCAGAAGGGGGACAGAGGTTGCATGGAAGATAAACACAACTACTTGTGTCACAACTACTTCCTCCAGTGTGGATGTGACGGGCACCCTTTCTCCACCTTCCTTTGTAGCCCAGCTGTGGTTCTCAGGGAGGCCAGAATTTCCAGGACACAGTGTAGAACTAGGTGTGTAAGGTGCTCCACTTGAGCCAACATGGTTTAATTGAAGGAGAATCGCTTAGAAAGATGGGCGGGGTGCACTGGGCGCCCTAAATAAAATGCTGGGCTGCATCACGAGTTACTTCATCTCGGAAGATCTGACAGATGATGCAACCTCTGCTTTCTTCCTGGCAAGCCCCAGGCCCTTGGAACCAGAGCTGGTGCCAGGGTCACAAACTTCCTTCCAAAAAGCCATCGACGAGGCTGCCCTGGCTTGTCTGCCCAGCAGGGTTTGTGTGATTACATTCTCCGAGTCAGGCATTTTCTGGGCGTCTGGAGTGGAGCCATGGCCTAGGGATTGTCGAAGAGTAGGAGGCTGCGGCTGAATTGGAGCCCAAGTGAGACACAGGAGCGCCTGTCCTGGGGCAGTGCTGGGCTGGGTTCCCGAAGAGAAAAGAGTCACGTACGACACAGGCTGGACCAGAACTCTAGGGCTGCAGTCTGGCCTCCAGACACCCGTGGCCCAGCCAGGAAGGCAGGCGGGGCTCACACACTCCCCACCATGAGGCCCAGGCCTCTTGGGGAGGGGCTGGGAGAACTGGGCTCCTGGAATGTGAAATCCATGGAAATAGGGACCCTCAGCTGCTCCCCCTCCTTCACCCTGGAATAAATAAAAGGAATAGCATAGAATGACTCTCCTGGAAGCACTGCATCACATTTTCCTTTTGCCCTCAGACATCTCATCCCAGAGGACAGGAGGGAAGTGGGGAGGATGTCAGGGAGCGAGGAGGAGAAAGAGGGGACGCAGCTGACACGAGATTTATGCCTAAAAGTGTCCAATTCAGTGGTACTCACCACACTACTGAACAACATCGAATAGAGACCATTTTCATCAACACGAGATAACCCCGTGCTAACTGACAGGGGTGTCTCCACTTTCATTTCTGGTCTAAGTTAAGTCCTCTGTCTTTCCATCAGTCTAGTTAATGGTTTATCGGTTGTGTTGGATCTTTCAGATAGTCACACTTCGGTATGTTGAGTTTCTCCACTGTTTTTCTATTCAGCATTCATTTCTACTCCACTCTTGAGTCTTTGCTTCCTTTTACAAAGTTTTGTATTTGCCTTCCTATATGAATTGCTAAGAGTATAAATTTAAGATAGTAGCCGGGTGTGGTGTTGTACACCTGTAATCCCAGCACTCGGGAGGCTGAGGCGGGAGGATCATTGGGAGTTCGAGGCCAGCCTGGGCTACAAAGCGAGCTCAAGGCCAGCCTGAACTGCATGGTGAGACCCTGTCTCAAAAAGACAAGAATAATAGTAATAATAACTAGAGTTTCTGGTGCAATAGAGAAGTGAAAAGTAAAACAGAAAAGAACAGGTTTATTGAGGACGTGGAAAGGAACACACAACCCATGGTGGCTGGGCTGTCTCCTTCGGCCGGATAGAGAGGCAGAGGGTTATACGACCTCTAATCGGAAGTGGTGCATGGGGCAGATGTTGATGATGTGTGAGGAAATGATTGGAATTTTCTCTGCACACAAACAGGAAGGGGAGTTGTGATTAGGGCTGAAGAAGCAGGAATTTCCACTTTGGCCTTCCGCCACGTTAGAACACTTCCTTATATAACTGTCCAGTAATTAATACTAGGGCAAGTACCTTTCAATAGTAATAGTAATAACTTGTTAGGTTTTTTTTTATCTTTTGGCTCTTTTCACATGGTTTTATAATTTCTCATTTGTGGGGCTGGGGATTTAGCTCAGCGGCATAAGCGCCTGCCTTGCAAGCAGGCAGTCGTGAGTTCGATCCCTGGTACCGATAAAAACGAAAAAGACCAAAAAAAAAAAAAATAATAATAATAATAATAATAATTTCTCATTTGTTTTTTCTTTTGTCACACTGGCGTTTAACTGATTGTCACACTGCTTGGTGTGTTGTTTAGTTTCCACAAATATTCAGTTTTTTAGCTTCTCTTCTATTGTTAACTTCTAGATTTAATGTATTGTACAGAGAAGAAATATCTTTGAGGAGTTGAGAACACTATCTGTTTTGATTGCTTGAAATATTCAGTTTAGGCCCACAATGTCAAAGATTTTATTTTATCTTATTTAATTTTTTGGCACCAGGGATCGAACTCACAACCTCACGCTTGCCAGGCAGGCACTTATGCCACTGAGCTAAATCCCCGGTCCCAAAAATTTTATATTCTTCTTCCAATTTCCCATTACCTTGCTGACCCTGTTCCAATGGTCTATCAGTTTCTGAACATGAGGGCTGCTTTGCCCAACTACCGTGGAAGTGACCTGGAGGAAGGGACACTGCTTTGAAGAGAATAGGGCGGGGGAAGAACAGGCAGGGATTTGGTTAAGTCTTCTCTTTTGGTTAAGTCTTCTCTCGGGGTGGAGGTGTGGATTGTGTTAGATCTGGACTGAAGGTGGGGTTCTATCCCCATCACCCTGGGGCGGCACTGGATAGCGTGTCCTTGGGAATGACTTCAGGGTCATAGCAATGCAGCAGTCCTGATCATGAGGAGCCTGGTGATGGGGTGTCTGCATATCTGTCACTGCAAGGCCTGCTGTCAGTCTCTAAAATGGGTCCTATGCCCCTACCGTCCTCTCTCCCTGAAGTGACTCCTCATGCCACCACTAAAATATTTTAAGCCAAAAGGAAGACACTGAAAGCATCTCCCAATTCCAAATAGAGTTGGTGCCTCCCCCAGTGCCCTGCCAATCTCCACTTGCCCATGTTTTTTGTTTTGCTTTGTTTGTGTACCAGAGATCGAACTCATGACCTTGCACACACCATGCAAGTGCTAACTGCCGAGCTTTGGGGCCCTGCTAAACCCTTCTGAGTGGCCCCTTCATTCCCAGCCCAAGGCTCAGGCTATAGCAACAGCTTCGTTAGCTCTGCAGGTGTGACTCAGGTGCAAGAGTCTTTTGGTCAGGAGCCTTTTATTCCGAATTTGGACTCCCAGTTTCAGTAAGTTAGCAACACGAGAAATTAGATGCTTCTGGGGTCGTGGCGTGAAATCATGGCAGACTCCAATTCTTCAAAGATAGCATGTTTTCTGCCTGTGAACTTGAATCTCCTCATCTTCATCGTCACTTCCTTGGGCACACATGCATTAAACACCTGACATTCAGCCCCAGGAACTCTTCCAGGCCTTAGGTACAAGACTGAAATGTCCCTGCGAGCATCAGGTTCTCATTCTCTTCATGGAGACAGACAGGGAAGG